TGGCCCTTTTGAATGAGAGTTCAGAGAAATAGCCTCCTTGGAAGGAGAGCAGGGCAGGACTTCTTTTGAGGAGCTTTGCACAGAGGCTAGAGACTCACCTATGGAGAAAAGTGACTAAGATGATTGGGCAAAAAATATTGTGCTCATCTTCATTGTGGGAACCGAGTCAGATCACTAGTGCCCTTAGTATTAAAACTGTAATATTCATCATATGTGTACATTGGTAACATTTGTGATCTTGTATACTGATTGTATCTTATATGTCTTGTAATTGAGAAGTCAAGCATGTCTTGAATATTACAATTTTAATACAGTTTTTTTCCTTTCTTAAAATGTATATACATTTTTGACAACCTCTGTATATGGGTGCTGCTATGAAACAATACAGCACAAAGGAAAATACATGCCAAGTGACAGAGACAATGGGATGTGCGGGGGAGGTGTTCCTGGGATCAGGAACTAATCCTTGCACTGGGTTAACTGTGATAAAGAGAATCATAATCCCACTCTTCCTACCAGAACCGGTACCCAGATGGATGATATCAGGTCACACCTTACCAAGCATTAAAATATTAAAGTACATCCCTACTCCAGGAGGCCACCAAGCCTATCTTCCTCACAAGACCCCCTTCTTCCCTAATCCCTCCAGCATGCATATAGCTGGTTGGTATCTTTGTGCCCCCTGAGCAAGCATTATTATCCCCATTTTAGAGATGGGAAAATTGAGCTTTGAAAGGATTATATCATGATATATCCTGGGTTACCTGTTGGGTTTATGATGGAACTGGGACTACAAGGAAAACAAACTGTTCTCTGTACTTAACACTGATGACACATGTGTGGGCTTTGTCCCCATAGAGCAATATCCAGTCTTTTGCAGATACCAGAAAGCTTAGCTTAAAGTGCAATTCAATTCTGATGCCATCTCCCTGGAGTTAGCGTCAGATCTCTCAAGTTACAGGGCTTAGTCCCTCAAGCCTGGCACTTCCGGTGCCAATCTTAAGTCTGAGGTTGTCACTTGCACTTCTGACCAACAAGCCATAAACTTACATTTACTGGTTTATTATAAAGAACATTACAGAGGATGCAGCTGGCCAGTGAGAGGGAGCAGTTCACAAGTGTGGGGAAAGGGCAGGCACATCTCCCGAGACTGCCTCCCCAGGCACACTGCCCTCCCTGCACCTGGGAGCTTTTTGAGCCCCTTCATTCATGGTGGTTCCTCTGGCAAGGTGCCCTCCTCCTCCAAGAGTCACCACACCAACATAAATCCTGGTAGTTGGAGTGGGCTTATTATGAATAACAAAAGATACTCTTCTTACCCCAATTACTCAGAAAATTCCATGGGTTTTAGAGGCATCTGCCAGGAGGCAGAGACAAAGACTCTGTATATTTCTTAAGATACACTATCCTAGGGACCATAAAAGCCATCTAGTGTAAACCAACGACATCATTTCATGGGTGAAGAGACCCAGAGAGTTCAAGGGCCCTGCCCAAGTCCGTGTGCTTGGCTGGCAGCTCTGTCTCGGAGCATCCGCCTTGTGGGTGGACACACAGTTCTGGATGTCTGAAATAAAGTACAACCTTAAGTCCCCCAGCTGACTGAATGGGCCCCGCCTTGGCCAAGGAGTTCCCAGATATGCCCTAAAGCTGAGTTGCTGGCCATGAAAAGGTAGTCAGATGTGCCCCCTTCCCTCCTTGGGGATGTCCTTGGTAACTCATTAACAGGCCGGCTCGGCGCCTGTGGTGCAAGCGGCTAAGGTGCCAGCCACATACACCTAAGGTGGCGGGTTCGAATCCCCAGCCCGGGCCCGCCAAACAACAATGATGGCTGCAGCCAAAAAATGGCCGGCACTGTGGCGGGCGCCTGTGGTCCCAGCTACTTGGGAGGCTGAGGCAAGAGACTCGCTTGAGCCCAGAAGTTGGAGGTTGCTGTGAGTGTGATGCCATGGCACTCTACCCAGGGGGACAGCTTGAGGCTCCGTCTCAAAACAAACAAACAAACAAAAAAACTCATTAACAGGCCTAGTGCTATACAGGACAGGGCTGGAACCACACCTGCACATCCTCCATTTACTTCATAGATCATCTGAGTCTGAGTATATTATATGCCTGGTGCCTTGTCTTTGATTAGCAGACTTTCTTATCTTAAAATATTCCAAGCCTTTAAATAAAGTTTCATTTCTTTAATCAATTATAAATCAAAGGATCTTTACACCCCCCTATAACCTGTAAGCCCCTGCTTTGAGACGTCCCATCTTTTCAGGCCCAGCCAAGGTATGCATTATTCCTTCCATGTATTGATTTATGACTTTACCTATGATTCTTGTCTCCCAATAATGTATAAAACTAAGCTGTAACCAAACCATAGCAAGTTCATTTTCTCCAGGCTTCTTGAGCATGGCTCCAGGTCATGGTGCTCATACTTGGTTCAGAACAAACCTCTTTAAATTATTTCACAGAGTTTGGGTTCTTTTCCACTGACAGATGCCACCTCCCAGAAGAGGAGGCCGCCATTATAGGAGCACTGGCAGGACCTGGGACTCCCTTTCCTTCCTGTGGCCTCTTGTGTCTGGGGCACCTGGAGCTATTGAAGTTAGTCAGGCTCCACACAAGGCTCCACTAGGCTGGACAAGGGGAAAGTGGGAGCCACTGGGTGTTTATGGAAAGATGCATGAAAGGACTGAGGAAGAGGGGTCCCTTGGACATGAGGTGGGACGTGATGAGAGACGTGAGGCAGTCTGGGCCAGAGGAAAGATAAAGGAAAAAACACCTACTGTGTACTTGCTCACTCTCTGCTGACACCTTATATGCGTGTGTGCGTGGAATGCCCCAAAGTGGGCCTTTGGGGAGGAATTTTGAATCCTTTTTCGTGGTTAAGCCAAGCAATGGTAAGAGCACATTTCAAGAGTCTGAAGTGAGCAGAGGAAGCCAGACATGCCCCCAGTTATACAAGGTCTGGATGCCCTGAGCCCCTGGACCGTGGAACAGGCCTCAGCCTCCGGGCAGGAAGGAGCATGGAAGTTTCTCTGAAGTGTCCCCGCAATGTCAGATCTGTAGGAGATTTTGCATTTGGAATCTCAGGGAGAGGGAGGTCAGAATCTAGGAGGCTGGGGCAGGGAAGGGACAGGGTGATGGAATGGTCCCTCCATGCTTTGGTGCCTGGGGAAAAATTACCATTTTACATTTCAATTAGGAGGAACTTTGGGGTCCGTCAGTAGCCACTAGAGGAAAATAGGCCCAGCCCAGCTCTGGACCTCTCCAATTATTATTAATGAACTTACTTTCAGTGCTGCCAACCTTTTTATATGCAAACTAGGCCTTTATAGGGCCATGGTAATCAGGACTCATTAGAGAACTCATCACAAGCCTTGGTGAGAATTGTGCAGGGGACAAGAGAGAGGCTTTTGCTTCTGTCCATCTCCTGGACAAGAGCAGTCTAGCCCCCAGGCCAGCTCCAGAGGGTTCCTCAGTTCCCAAAGCCCACTGGACTCAGGAGATCCCTGCTGACTCACCAGCCTGTCCAAAGGCGTCCTGCCCATGCGGGAGCTTGCCCTTCTCACTCAGGGTAGGAAGCATGGCGACTCAGGCAGCTGGCACCTGCGTTGTTCAACTCAACTGCTAATACCGAGCCCTTGTTTCTCTTTTGCAAAGTAGAGGTTGGTCAGAGGACTCTCAGATTCCCAGCATTCTTAGCACCCACGTTGGTCAAGGAGATGACTGCTCTAAATCATAGAATCATGACTGATAAAGATGGACTAGGCCTTGGAGTTCACCCATAGGGAAATTGAGTTCCAGTGTGGAGGTGACGTGTTCACAATTCCATAGCTCATCAGAAGCTCACTTGGCTCTAGAACTGGCCCAAGTCTTCTCCCTCCAGGCTTTAGTCCTGTTATGGTGCAGGTTTCAAGGACACAGGGAGCTCTTTGACTCATGTTTGCTCTGGGGCCCAGGAGAGACAGCTGCCAGTTGTCTGGGACTCTGCAGCCCCTGCATTTCGGTGGTGAGCCTGTGATGAAACATCCTCAGAAAGGACATGTATGTCATGCTTTTGATGGTCACCCTGCCCAGAATCCATCTGTCTTGGCATTCCTGGACATTATCACCTGGGAGGCATCTGGGGGGTGGTGTGACCTGCCTGGCACAGAGGGCACGTGGGCCCTGCATGTGTCACAGGATGCCTCACTTATGCCCATGACCAACAGGCCCAGAGTGTGGTGCTCTCACCCAGAGCCTGCGAATCCAGCACACACAAGTGTTCACCTTTCAGCTGGGCAGAGCACCCACCCTCCTTCCTCTGGCCTTATTCTCTCCCCAGCCCTCCATGTACACAGCTGATAGCTCCTGAGAGAAAGGCCTGTGACTCACTGTCTCCATCCCTGAAGACCATGTGGGCCAAGGCTCCAGGGATAAGCGTGCCCCTTGCTGCATCCAGGAGCTCAGCACATGTCTGATCTAAGAGGCTTTTCTTCGGGTCAGAACATCTCTAGAGCTTAGCAGAAGCTTCTGGTTTTAAAGTGCCTATAGGACCAATTCCAGAGTATTCCGAGATACCAGACTCAGCCCATTTGTGGGAGGGCCCCCACCCCCACCCTGCTCCCATGTGGTGCAGACTCACATTCCAGAGGCAGAGTGAGGCCCAGGGTTTTATGCCCATCTGTCCCAATCCTTGGCAGTCTAGAACTTGCCAGGCAGAGAATCATCAGTCCACAGTGGGACAGTATACCCACTGGCAGGGACATCTCTGTTAGGGTAGACCAGAAGTGTCAGGCTCTGGAGAGATGGGGCAGGCATAAAAATGGAATCTGAAGAGGGTGAGGATGGCTCTGTGAGGAAGGGCCTCAGATGAGACATCAGGACCAGGGGTTTCTTAGTCCCATCCTTGCCCCACCAGGGCTGGGGTAGGCATGAGAACCTAGGGACACCCAGATCATGTCTACAGGGGCCCTTCTTGGCCTTTCAGCTTCTGGGCTGCCCAACCTGAGCCTGCCCTCTGTCCCTAGGACTGCCCCCAGCTGCTGCGAGTGGACAAGATCCTGGTGCCCGTGGAGGTGATCAAGCCCATCACTCTGAAGGCCAAGAACCTGCCCCAGCCACAGTCCGGGCAGCGCGGTTACGAGTGTGTGCTGAGCGTCCAGGGCAGTGAGCAGAGGGTGCCCGCCCTGCGCTTCAACAGCTCCAGCGTGCAGTGCCAGAACACCTCTGTGAGTCCCACCCTGTCACTGTCCTTTCCTTGGAGACAAACTGTCCCTCCTCCCCGCTTCTCTCCACCCCACTGGTACCACCAAGGTCTTTCACATCTGCCCTAGTCTGAGCCACCATGCATCTGGCCCTACATGTGGCCAGGTTGAACGAGGGTCCTTTACCCAAGACAGGGTGAAAGAGACCATGGGACCAGCCAGGGGCTGTTGAGCCCTGTTTGCGGGCAGATTTGGTGCTCCAGGAACATTTGTGTGCATCCTCTTTCTTGAGGGAAGCTCTAAAAACCCAGGGTCCTGTCCTCCCACCAGGGAGGACCTGAGTACGTCATTTGAGCCACAGAAGTCCGCAACCGCCTTCATACCTACATGAAGGCTGTTTCCCTGCAAAGAAGGCTTCTGAGACAGACTAAACATCAGCCAAAGGGAATTGGCCGGGAGGGAGAGAGCCGGCCAGGAGCGTGCTGCCAGGATCAGCACAACCCTGCCCAGTGTTCAAAAATCCATGTCAGCCACAGCTGACATCCCCCCAGGACGCAGACTCCAGCTGCCTGATTTGTAGGTTCCTCATGTGAGCCCTACCTGCCATCCTGTCCTGCTACCTCCTTGCTCTCCTGCCCTGTTGCCCTTCCAGACACTGCTCTGGTCTCATTCTCTTTTTGGTCAACTTTCTCTGTGCCCAGAGGCTCAGAGACAAATGGATTCATAATATTTTCAAGCTATAAGAAAACTTACAGTTCATCTTCATTATACAAAAGAGAAAACAGAGGCCCAGAAGCAGGGGCAGAGGTGTCTGGGACTGACACTTTCACAATTTGGGGACCCTCTTTAAGATTAACATATAGGTACAAACTTAGACACTTGGGCAGGCCTTAGAAGGGACAGTGTGAGCAAGTGTGGGCCCTGGAGCTAGAGCTCTGTTTGCTTTGGAGAAACGAGCCCCCATATCTGTCAGAAGGTAGATGCCTTGCCCAAGGCTGTCCAGCTAGTGAGTGGCAGGACTGGCCTGGAGTTAGTGTCCCTTCCCATGTCACACTGCTCCCTATTCATTGTTCTCCTTGCTGCTGGGAACTTACATGCAGTGTCTATGTTTGGGGATGTGATATGGAGCCAGGAGAGTCCCAGACAAAGGACCCCTGACAACAGCCTGCTCTTCCTGCAGGAAGAGGGATAAACTGAGCTCAGAGAGGCCCTCACACTTGCCCAAGGGCAGTCAGCATTACAGGCACTGAACTGGTCACTGATCCCACAACCCCAGATGTGTCCCTACAGCTTCCCAAGTGCACATCCCCCTTGTCCCTTGGCAGCGGGTTTTTTCTTTTTCTTCAGACTTACACAGCACTCCAGATTAACCTGCAAGCAAAGGGGATATTAAACACCTCCTATTTCCTCATAAATCCTGAGGCCAAGCAGACCAGCCCCATGGGGTTTGGCTCAAGTAAATCTCTCTAAAATAAACTCCCTGTGGGAAGAGACCCACATTTGGGCCGCACATTTGACTCAGCAGAAGGCCAGTAGGGATTTCAGCCTCCCCTCCTTGGAGAAGCTACCCTAGGGATCTGGAAGGCAACAGGAGGGAGGATGGAACCTGTGGCCTGAGATGGCCAGGCCCTTGGATGGCCATGCCCTCAGTTCCTCAAGAAAGGGATGCAAAGGTTAGGAGACTTAGGCTGATTCCATTAAATAGACTAGGAACACAGGGTAATAGCATCAGTTGGTCCTATAAATCCCATAGTCAGAACTCCCTCCATGCCCTGGAGACTAACTTTAGCTTCCAAGAGTCTCCTTGGGACCCTGTGCCATTTTAGTTGCTGCCAGAATTGGAAGCAGATTGTGTTGGAATGTCTTCAGCATTTCCTAGATCAAGAGCTGCCCAAATGAGTGCTTGGCCATCACAGGGTACTCCCCAAATATGAGAACGAAATCAGAGCCTCCTGGGAACAAGGGCACAGACAGGATCTCAGAGGCCCCAGGCCCGTGAAAGGCATGTACTCCTCTGTGGTACCCCCACAGGGTACCTAGTGCTGGCACTGGGTCGGCACCATGGGAAGCAGAAGGGCACCACTGGGCCCCAGTGCAGCATGTGTTTGTCTGATGTTGCATTCTTGGGATTTAGCAGGTCACACAGCTACTCACGTGAGAATTTCACATCTGGAAGCCTAATGCCCCAGGCGCTACAGACAATTCTGCTTCTGGCCCCTGATGACACTGAGGCTGGAGGCCTGAAGTCTGAAGCCCCACCAACCAGGGACAGGCTGACTCCAGAGGAGTCCCCTCTACCTAACAGGACCCACTGGAATCACACGGTTGGGGAAGGCTCGGCTCTGAGTTTTCCCAGATGCCTCCTTTTTCATTAGGGGCTGTGAGGTTTAAATGCTGCTCTGAGCCAGGATGTGGCTTGCCACCAAGTAACTTTTTAAAAAAAAAATTTCTGGGCCATTATCAGGGCAAGCCTCCCCCACTGTAGTCATAGAAAGCAAGGTGCCATTAGACAGGAACAGAGAAAATATCTACTTGATGCTGTTATAGATAGGGTCTCCAAGGCCCAGAGAGGGCAAGTGACCGTGCCAAGGTCACACAACAAGTAAAGTACAAATCTGAAACAAAACCAAGTTTCACAATACACCCCTTATCACAGAATGGGCAATCAACAGCAGCAGAGAACTCCTTACCCCGGCATTGGCATCATCGCCAGAAACAGTGTCTGCTTGGTCCCCAGAGAGGGTTTTATGGAAGAAGAAATCGATTCATGGTCTGAAATCCATGAGCAATCGAGAAGGGGGTTATCTAACAGACAAACCCCGGGATCTGTGACTGCAGAAAGATGACAAAGAAGGTAGCAGAGCAGAGAAAGAGGAGACACAGGAAAACTCAGTATGGGCACTATGCTAGACGGGTGGGTGGTGGACGGGCTCCCAGCCCCGCTCTGTGGGGTAGGTCCTGGCAGCAGCCTCCACTGGCTGATGGGAGGAGGGCAGGGCAGGCCCACAGGCAGCAGCTGGGGGGAGCAACTGTGGGCATTTGTGGCCTACTTTAGACCAAGGCTCCAGGAAAATGTCAAGTGCTGCTAATAATAGTGCCCCACCACCACCTCTCCGGCATAGGCAGTCACAAGAGCGAGTGGGCTGCAAAGGGCATCTGGCTGGTTAGAGTGCTGGCCTTGAACTTCCATAGGCCACTCTGGCCTCTCCTTTTCTTTGGCTACTTTTTACCACATGCAAAACTGCAGTGGGGAGAGCAATGGGAAGAGAACCGCCCCCTCCCTCCTTTCCTGGACCACGGCCTGAGACGGGGGGGTCTGTTGAGCCGTTTAGAGTCACAGAGGTGGCACAGCATACCTGCTGGCTTCCTGTGTCATGTTGTGTTGTTCCCATTAATTTGCCCAAATTGTTATATTTTCCAGCAAAATATCTGCGAGCTCAGGGCAAGGGCGTGATTAGAAGCAAGAATGTCTCAGTTATATAGAGATGTCCTCTCACTTTAGAAGCAGCACCCAGCGCTCACACTTTCCCAAGGCCATGGGGGAAGTCTATTAGCCTAGCCGTGGTGGGCAGACCCTGACTGTGATACTCAACCTCCTGGCCTCTAGGAGCCTGTAACATGTGCTCCCTTAGCACTGAGCTTTGCACAGATTAACTGCCTACTGATTACAGACAGCTGAGAAATGCTAAATGGAGTGGAGGCTGGAGGTCTAGAGCCAGTGGTCCAGGCTCCCCAGCTGTCTGAGGAGGCTGAGGAGACCTCCCCTCCCTCCCCCCAAATGACAGAGTCTTCTCTAAGGACCTGAGGGAGGCAGGGCACCTGGGATCAATTATTTCTATAGTATTTCATAGTTGTGATCCCAGGATTGGGAGAAAAAGAAAGCAGTGTTCAGCACATTTGATCAGGTCTTTTTATTTTCAATTTCCTTCAGGAGGAGAATTCGTGCGTGCACACACATGCACAGCAGAGCGCTAAGTGTTCTCACATGCACATGACCCCACATGCATCCAGGGTCTGGCACATGAACAGTGAGCACATGGCTGCTGTTGTTATTGCACACAGACACATGGGGAACGCAGATGGACCTGTGCACATGTGGATTAAAATGCACAATATATCTGAGTGCTTACACAGGCGCTGTGCTCAGAGTGTTCTATACATAAACTTGAATCCTTACAACATCCTGTGAGCTCTGCACTGTTTTTAATTCCCACTTTACCAATGGGGAAACTGAGCCTTGTATCATTTGCTCACAGTCACACAGCTGATCACTAGCAGAACCATTCTGTAGTACAGTGTGTGTGCATTTATGGGCACAGAGATGACAAGAAAATGTGTGCTAACCTCTTCTCAGGTCACATGCAAATAAGCACATTTGTACACATGAACACGTACACATGCATGTACACACACAGAAGTTTTTGCCTTTGTTTCTGGGGATTTAAGTCCTTCCTGAGAGAAAGCTTAAAGATCTGTTGATGTTCAGCCAACACACCCCTACTCACTGCCTCCTGGGGCCTGGCCAGACCCAGGCCTGAGAGCAGAAGCCGGGCTCTAATCCTGGCCTGGCTACCAGCAGCAGCCCTCTGAGAGGCTGAAGCTCTGCTCACCCCAGCACAGCCTCTGGGAGATCAGATGGTACCAGACCGGGGCCAGAACAGCCAGCCCTTCCCACTCTAGCTGGCAGCCCTGCCCACCTTCCCCCATGGGGACCTCTGAGGGAGGAGGGGAAATGTCTGGAAGAGGGAACAGGAAGGGAGGCTTGGAAGTGTATGCTCTCTCTCCCCTCCATACACACACACACATAAGGGAGGGGTCCCCTTTCCCTACACACCTCTCCCTCCCCTGGGGCAGTCACCCACCCACCTGCTTCTTCAGCTCTACCCAGCACCAGGATCACAGGGATGGTCTTTCAAAAAGCTCCCATCTTCAGAGGGTCTCATGCAGCAGGTTGAGGTGGGCCCTGCAACCTGTACTTTCATAGGCCCCTTAGATGATTCCGATGAAGGGGTCCCCACACCACTCTGAGAGCACCAGTGAAAAGGTTTTCTGAGAAAACTCAGGACAACTCAGGATGACCCAGCCTGCCCTGTACAGAGACTTCAGCTCTGGGGAGTTGATTCCTGACTTAACACAGTGACTAAAGTTTCCACCACTGCTCCTGAGGGGCTAGGAAGCCCTGGCCTAGGTGGCTTCCCCTACAAGAGAGAGCCTCCATTGTGAACAAATCACCTCCATTGTGGGACTGGAGCGCTGCTTGGTCTGGGCCTGCATCACCCAGGAGTGAGTTAAAAATTCTGGACTCAGAACAGAGCGTGAGGAAGGCCGGAGCAGCCTGCTTCTGCTGCTGTCCAGGGCATGGCACAGCATGGTCACCAGGGAGGGCATTCTGCTGAATTCAGGGCAATGTCTTGGTCTGAGGATTGTAACATCTCCTTTAGCAGCTTCTAGGAATTGGCTGAAGACCTAGCCCTGCCCAGTGGCAGAGGCCTGGACAGTAGCCCCCTGGGATCCTCCCAGGCATATATTCCCACTACCTTCCTATGCGTGACAGTGCTTTGGTGTCCCCCACTGACCCAAACTTAGCCCCTTCAAATTTTAACTCCGAGTTAAAAGAGTCCTTGGGCCCTTCAAACACAGCTCCAACCTAGCCTCCTGGACTAACCCCTTTCACCAGATCACCAGCCCTTTCTCTGCAGAAAATCTGTCTCAATGCCATCCTTCCCTCCCAGCCCCAGTGGTGGTGGGGGGTGGGCTGCAGAGTCTGGTGTGATAATGAGAAATCACTAGGAAGAGGTTGAAAATGCTACGAAGGGCAGTCTCTGGGTTCCCTCCACTCACCCTCTTTCCTTGGAGCTAGGGAAGTGTCTTACATCCCGAAGGCAGATGGGGCAGGCGTGCTGGGGACTGCTCCTCCACCCACACCCTCAGACAGCACCTCCCTTTCTCCTCACCCTCACCCCAGCCTTAGTCAGGCCAGGTCAGGCAAGGGAGCAGGGTGCCAGGGGACAATATACAAGCCTACAGGCAGCACCCAGAGGCAGCAGCCAGACAGGCATCTGGGCCTATAACCCAGCTGTGACTCCCTCCAGCCTTCCCACCACCCCACCTTTATTTCTTAGTCTCTGTAGTGCTGCCTGTGTCTTGGTCACCCATCTCTAGGTCTTTAGTAGGGCATTCACCTACCCTGGACATTTCTTAGAAATTTGCTTTCCAATCTAATTGCACACACCACAGGACCTAGTGGCCAGGGCTGCCCTGGGCAATCAGGGAGGAGGTGGGCTACTCTCTCCATTAAGTGTCCCAGGAAAGCCCAGCTGAATGGAGCAGGCCTCCTCGCTGAGGCCCACAGGAGGTGATTGATCACCCCAGCTGCTGAGCCGCACCCACATGGGCTCAGAGCCCAGGTCCCACCCAGGCCCTTTGCTCTGAGCTGCTCGTGCATACAGGTCTGTGTGCACACTTGTTTATACAGCCGTGTGTGCATGCAGGCTTGTGTGTGCACTCGTGTGCAAACACTCAGACATAGGCACACCTGCATTGTCTTCACCAGTCCTTAGCCCTGTGAGCTCTTGAGGGCCCAGGCCTCCCTGGAAATCTCTGTGACCCTGCTTTCTCCTTCCCTCCTGCCCTGGCTGGCTGCAGTATTCCTATGAAGGCATGGAGATCAACAACCTGCCCGTGGAGCTGACAGTTGTGTGGAACGGGCACTTCAGCATCGACAACCCAGCTCAGAACAAAGGTGGGGGAGGGCTGGCCCTGGTGAGGGAGGTCAGGGAGGGAGGAAGCAGCCCTGCCCTGGCAGGTGCATTTTGCCCCTACTTCCCAGTAGGTGTCCCTCTGAGTCCCCTTCATAGCCTCTCCACTGTCCACACTTCCCAGTTACCTATTGGATAGGGGTACTGCAGGGCTGGTATGTGGCATGAGTAGTACTTGGGGGAAGGGCTGTTGAGTGCTGAGAGTGGACAGAGGTTTGTGACTGCCCCACGTAGTTCCTCTGCTCACTGACATTTCCTTCTTGTCTGCATCAGAAGGGCCAAGGGGGCACAGCTGTCCTGGTTCCCACCACCCAGGTTGGGACTGCGCTCCTTGTCCCTCTCCTGCCCCTCCCAGCCCTACCCCACTCCACAGTACCCCTTGCCCTCTGCCCCCTGCAGTTCACTTGTACAAGTGTGGAGCCATGCGTGAGAGCTGTGGGCTGTGTCTCAAGGCCGACCCAGACTTTGCATGCGGCTGGTGCCAGGGCCCAGGCCAGTGTACCCTGCGCCAGCACTGCCCTGCCCAGGAGAGCCGCTGGCTGGAGCTGTCAGGTGCCAACAGCAAGTGCACAAACCCCCGCATCACGGAGGTAAGTGGGGCTGGGCCTCCAGCCCAGATGGGCATACCCGGGGCCGCTGCACCACACCCTGCTGGGGGCCAGGGCCCAGAAACTGCCCAGCCAGGCAGTCAGTCACCACAGCAGTCATGGGCTGCACTCAGTTGTTCCTCCTGGCAGGATGTAGTCCTCGCCTGCTCTTCTTCCTTTTGTCTCTGGCAGTCACAGAGGTAACCTCTACAAGGGTTGGCCAGTGGGAAGGGGCTGCATGGGGTCCAGGGGGCAGAGCCCAGCCCTGGGGCAAGGGAGAAGGTCGCCGTGGAGAGGACTTAGCACTCTCCCAGAGAAATCTCTAAGCCTTTGCAGTGTCAGCACCATCTTTATATCTTGATTTGTTGCTGCAAAGGAACCCACAGTTCAGGATGGAGCACAGTCCAGGAGGACCACGAGGGCACAGGCTGTAGAGCAGAGGCCCACTGAGGGGCACAGGGACAAGGCAAACATACAGATACTTGGGTCATAGAGAACAGGGTTTGAATCCAGGACCCATCAGCTAACTGCTGGGTGCTCAGGGCTAAGTCATCACTGTCTCCTCATCTCAGCTTCCTCATCTGTGAGGGGGTCTGAGCACTCATCTCACAGGGGAGGTACGAGAATTATAGGTACATACATGTATACATACAAAGTGCCCTCATGCTGTGTCCAGCCCTGGGGCCCCTCCTCAATCATCATCATTGAAATCGCTGCCAGGGATGACCGAGCCAAGGGAATCAATGTCCCTGGGGTTGACTTAAGTAGCCCATCCCTTCACCTCCCCAATCCCCAGTCCCAGCAGAAAGACCACCAGCTACTGCCTCCTCTGTGGCCAGGGTCCCTTACTTCCCCGTTAAAATAAGGAGGAGAGGTGCATGTCTCTGTCCATGTGTTCCTCCACGGCAGGATCAGGTCTACCTCTGTGCTTCAAGCACAGGGCTCAGCACGTAGTAGGTATTCCAGCACTCTTTGGGTGCTGGTGATGCTGATGAGGCGGCCAGGGTGGGACAGACAGAGAAGAAGAGGAAGAAGGAAGCTCAGGCTCTGCCTCAGTGAGCAGCGAGGACACACTGGTCACCGGCTTTGTGTGCAGTTTCACAAACATCACCTGATGACCCACCAAGACAGTCGCAATCCCAGGCCTTCTGTGTGTGCGGCACCCTACAGCGGGCACAGACCCTCATACCTGCCGCCTTATCTGTCCTCACAGCCACCCTGTTTGTTCTGTTAGGTTCCTGGGGCTGCCCTCACAAATCACCACAAACTGGGCTGCTTGAGCAACAGAAATGTAATGTCTGGCAGTTCTGCAGATAGACGTTCACGGTCAAGGAGACAGCAGGTTGGGTTCCTGAGAGGGCTGGAGAGAGAATCTATTCCAGGTCTTCTCCATGGGGGCTTCTGCCCTCCTCCATCTCTGTGCCTGAAGTTCCCCTTTTCATGGGGTCACATTGTACTAAAGCCCACCCGAAGGACCTCACTTAGACTTGATTGCCTCTATAAAGACTGTCTTCAAATAGGTCACACACTGATGTAACTACTAAGTGTTAGGACTTCAGCATGTGAATTTGGGGGAAGCACCATTCAAACCCGTAATTCTTACCCAGGCCAAGGGTATTATCACCCCTCCCCAGACAGAGACCAATGCTCAGAGAGGCATGTTAACTGTAACCGAAATGCAATAAAATGGTGCTGCGGCCCAGGTCTCTGGATTCCTAGATGGATGTTCTCCTGTACGCAGCTGTAAGACCTGGCCCCACGCTTACCAGTTGTGCCCATGCACCAGGGATGTGTAGAAGCAGGAAGGGGCTTGTCTTTTGTGGGTGAAAAGCCTCACCCAACAAAGTGCCTCTTGGGGTGGCCCTCACAATATGCTCACATGTCAGCCCTTATTCTCAGTCCTGCATTCCTGGTCATCTGGATGCTGAGAGTTGGTCTCAGCCCCTATGTCAGTCTCCTGCACATGATTCTCCAGCTGGGGGAGAATATTTGCACATTTAACCTGCAGAATGACCAGAAAACAGGTGGATAGCTTCTCTCCCCACTGCTCCAGCCCCACAGTCCGCCATCACTCTCTTCCCACCCCCATCTTTCACCCCTGCACCTCCTCTGTGGAACCACAGTTCCCAGAGCCCTTAATGAGAAACCCTCCCTGGGGGTTGCCACACACAGCAGCTAATGGTGCGTCTGGTGCAATTGGTGGGACTTGCTTTTTTCTTGGCCTGGGCCCAATAAAATCACAGGGAGGAGATGGCAAATTAAACAACTCTGCCTGCGTCGGAGGCTGTTTACTGCCTGCTTGCTGGCATCAGCCCTGGAGGAACCTGGGGAACTGAGGACTGGGCCAGAGATAAAATACCTTTATAATGACAAAGTAGGGTTAGAGTGCCATGGGGACGCTGCTGTCAGGTGCCACAGGCACTTTGGGGACCAGCTGGGCAGGCATTTGGGAAGAACATACACTCCCCCTCCTTCCCCGCCTTATCCACATCTGTCCATCTCTGTCACATAGAAAGGGGCACGGATCTCCGGGAAAGTTGTTTCTCTATTACGACATGCCCACCTGCAAACAGGACAAGTGGAGGAGGCAGGAGGTAGCCTCACCTGGAAAATCTGTCACGGGGGACAGCCTCAGATACCTCCCCCACGAGTCCCCCTCACCCCAGGATGGTGTCCTCAGCTGTGACCATAGCTGTGTCCCCCAGGATGGGGAAAGGAGGATATGCTGGAAGGGTTTCTTGCACTGCAGCCCTGCTGACGTTGGCCAAGATCCAGGCTGCTGCTCAGAGGCACAGGAATGGGGGCCAGCCCTCCTCTAGTCTACAGAGTATGGCATGCCATGATGAGATGTGCTAACTGTACAGGCCCTCCTGGCATTTCAATCGTGGGCTCCTCATGCTGACGGTGACCTCTTGGGAGGGAAAGCCAGTCATTTTGGCCCTTGAATGAGGGTAAAGTCTAAATTAAACCCAAATCTCTGAGATACCAAGCCAAACCATGAAAGCAAAGGGGTTGTAAGAAATGCTCATACAATTCCAGAAAGATGTTTGGATAGTGTGGGCCCCTTTGCAGTGACAACTCAAGATATAAAGATGGCGCTGTCACTGCAGAGGCCACAGGGTGAGGTGAGACATGGTCCTGGCTCACGGAGACTCAGGATCAGAAGGGAGGGGGCTGCAAGAGGGAAAGATGAGGAAC